TTTTTTTACTTGTATCTGTTTAGCATATAAAGGAGGATGGTGCCAAACTTTCAGACTTTGTTGTAACTTTTTATATTATTAAGCATACTCACTCTGAGGTTCATGTTATATGAAAATGTAAGATTTTTTTTTTTTCCTGAAAAGCAGGGAGAACAAATAAGGGATTTTAAGGTCATCCAAGAAGCTTTAGTGCTTTGCCAAAAGTTTAGGTCCACTTCCTGAGGCAATTTCATTAGAAGACAGCTGATGTTTGCTTGGTTTACTCCCAAGTTATTTTTAGAAACTAGAGATTATCACTGATGGCACCCATTTAAATTTGCTCATTTACGTTTTTATATGCTACCAAATATGATTAGAGTATGCTTTCAACTAATTGCTGACAGATTTACTACATTAGGGATTTTCTAAGCCATTAGATTCCTACTATCATCAGATTGCTACTAACTAGGTTTGGCTAACTTTGTGCCAACTGCTCCAAAGTTGAGATGAACTCTTTCAGCCCCCAAAAGAACCAGAGAACTTGGCTTCACTTACCTAAGAGCACAAAGAAGTTAGAGAAAACGGATTTTGGAATCTACTTGGAACACACTTTGCTCTGTGGCTTGTGATTCTGAAAGTCTGGGATTAACATGGAACAAATGCAGGTGCGCATTCATGTAGACTCCAGAGCCTGCAGCTGCCATTTCTCCCCTACTCACAGGTGGCTGTAGTGCATTTGAAGATTCCTGGAGTGGACTCTGTCTTAAGAGTGTCCTGCACCATTTATAGACCTGTCCCCAGTTTCTCCATGGCAGGAGCCCACTTCTGCTACTCAGTGCTTACAGAGCACATCCAACACACTCCTGCCTTGAGCTTATGCTCCCCATGTTCTAGGTTGTCTCTTATGACCCCTGAGTCTGGTTTATGTTATCTGCCTTTGCAAGCAAGAGAAGTAGTACCAGAGGGTTTTAACAGTGGCAATCTCATCACACGCACAGCGAGAAATAGACCATGAGATTCTGTTTTCTCAAGATTGTCTTCATCCTTTTGAATAGGCCTCATCATTTCCATGCCGACAGATGCCACTTTTTCCCACTATTCCTTCTTCAACTCTTCCCATTTTCTTTCTTTAATCTTTTCTTTCAGATTTCGTACTTGACTCTAAGAACATATATATATAGTGATAAATTTACTAGCTCTATAGGAAACTCCCTGATAAAACTAAGATGGTCATACATATGATCATACATAGATTAATTTTATATGATCATACATAGATTAATTTTATATGATCATACATAGATGAATTTTTCAAAGCATCTGTAACATACAGCGCCCAGCTCCAGCTTAGCCCTCCTTGGCACTCTAGGTGGCATCTTTTGATCTGGTGCAGGCACCACATGTCTGTCTGTTCTGTGTTATTACCAGTGGCAAGTCATGGTATTCTGACTGGGCCAGTCCACAATATTATTTTTTCTGCATTTTTTTTTTCAGTACCTCCTCCTTTGGTGGTTTACTACCTAAAGTGGTGGTAGAGTCTCTCAGCTCAGTATGCATATATTATCACTAGACTTTAGTCTGGCATCTAATTTCTTGTGCTTGCCCATCAAATCTAAGTCTCAGTGATCATTCTGCTGGGGCCTCAGGCCAGGAATCCATGAGTTTCTGAGGAGACTAGACAGAAATCATGGACCTAAGGGAAGAGTGATGACCTCATATTCCACTAGGGACTAGATAAGGAAGAGAATATACGTGGAAGGGGTGTGGGTATGTATATTTAAATTAGAGCAGAGTCACTTCCCAGAAGAGTTCCAGTCATTGAGATTGGTCAAGTTACGACTAGAATTGCACTGCCTTTGTCATGCTTAGCACATTAAGAGACTTAGCTATGAGTGCTCCTCTCTCTGGAGTAGTAATTAGTGCACTGACTGCTGTCTATAAAACAACAACAACAGGACCCCCACTACTTTACATTAAATGACAACCATAGGAGTTTTTCTTCTAAAATATTTTAGGTAGCCCAGGCAATCAACTACGAAGTGATTTGTAATGCTTTATGAATTATAATATCTGAGATAAGTTGGTAAGACTATATACCACATAGCAATTTATCATCAATATAGATCCCAGAAATGTCCTGAATAAGGTCTCTGTAGCCATATAAGCTATACATTGTTTTGAGAAAAAAAAAAAAAAAGCTGATTCAAGAAAAAATGTAGGATTACTGCAACAAGCCAGACCCTGGTCTCTCAGGCCCCTGTGGCTCTAATCCATAATCTCACAGTCTGATGACAGAACTATATGCTTGCCTCAGAACTTATAGTAGAATTATGAAAAATGTTTTAAAAAGCAAAGCATCATTTTAAGGGATTCCCTGAAATCCCCTGAGTTTGTAAGTTACCACATTGGATGCCATATTGGCCTAATCTTCAAAAATTAGCAAGTAACTACAATGGAGCTACTGCCAGACTCTCCCAGTATCTTGAATTCCCCAGCTCAAAGTCAAAAGGAGCCATCATTTTGTATCAAGAGACTGAAATATCCTATTCTCATCCGTTCTTCCCTTTTTGGGGGGAGAAGATTAAAGGCTGTTCTCTTCTTGTTCTTCATATGTGCTCATAATCCATTCCCAAATCTACTTCTCCATGTTATTTTTCATTTCACTTGCCAAACCAGGAAGGATCCTTGACCTCTGTTTCTCTCTCCTCATTATGCTCACTCATTTGCCAAGTTCACCTGTTTTAGAGTAATTTCTTCCCCCTTTTCTACAAATTAACTCATATTCATCCTTCAGATCTCAGTTTATGTGTCACTTTCTAAATTGAAGATACCATCCTTGACTCCCTGAGTTTCTTTATGAGTCAGGATGGCTGAGTTATGCTACCATAATGATCAAGCCCTAAAACTCAGTGGTTTAACACAATGAAGTGACTATTTCTTACTCATGCTACATGTCTGTCATGGCTTAGAAGGTGAGCTTTTCTCGTTGTAATTTCTTAGAGACTCAAGCTAATAGAGATTCTTTCTCACCTGTGATTTCATGAGAGCCAAGATAGGAAAAGAAATATGGTGAATCATTCAGTGACTCTTAATTTCTTTTAGAAAGTGATATATTTCCACTCATACAATTATGAGTGGGGGAAGCTTGTCAAATATATTTGTTGAATGAATGAATGAATGAATATGGCAGAACTTCTTATTTTATAAGTTCTTAGTCCTGTATTCTTTCCTCTACCATTTCTCCTTGAAGATCTTATCCCTTGCCTTGATTTCAGCAATCACTTCCCAGAGAGTGATCTCCATACCCTGACTTCAGTCAGACATCTCCAACTATTTACTTGATATTTCTACTTGAATTTATAATGCATAAGTTTGAATTTATTCATTTAGTAAATACTTGTAGATTATTTTCTGGTAAGGATCATGATAAGTGATATGAGGATACAGAAATAATTAATAGTACTTAACCTTCTGAGTGCTAACAATTCAGTATTATACAAGGAATAATACAGTGAGTCTGTAATACATTCACAATGTACGAAACACTGATTCTAAAGAGAAGAGAGACAAATGACTTTGGGCAGGATGGAGTTAGAACTTGTGTTGGTTCAACTATCCAACCTGTTGAGCCAACATCATTACTGAAAAGCGTTCTGGGCTGGGTACTAGAGACAGCATGAGCAAAGTGAAGTTTTTATCCACCTTACAATCCAGTAGGGAAACAGGTAGCTAAGGAAACAGCATAGATGAGGTTTTGATGAAGAGCAGGACAGTGATTGAGAGGTAATGAGGAGGGAGCAAAGGAAAACATTTCCACCAGAGGGTTCCACTTGATTAAATATCTGGAGGCAGAAATTAGTGTTGGTATTTATGCCAGGAAAGATGTAATGAGGCACTCGTTCAACTTAATATAAAAAATATTAGTATTATGTGTTTAATTTACTTTATTTCTCTACCTAACTCTAAATCTTCTAAGGATAAAGGAATATTATGATACCTCAAGCAAGATGCAGGTGGGAACCAGAGCAGGCTTTGCCATCTTGTGCACAAAGGTTTTCAGCCAGAGAGATTGGGCTGGATGCAAAAGTTAGTTCTAACTTGTGACTCAAGCGGGATGCACTAAGTCCCACTAACAGTTCCTGAACTAGGAACCACCATCTCTTTCAAAAGGGCTGTTCTTGAGGCCGTGGGCACTTATATATTCAACTGATACAAAAACTAATTTATCTTACTGCTTTGAAATTGCTGTGTCTTTGCCAGAATATAACTTCCTTCACAATTGTTTTAATTTGCATTTCTTTGGCTGTCTTAATGTACTCTTCTTGTCTTTTGTCTAGTTTTATAGGTATATCTATCTGATCCTTCATACCCACCTTTTTTTTGGGGGGGTGGGGGGGTGGATTGTTGCCCAGGCTGGTCTTGAACTCCTGGACTCAGTTGATCCTCCCACCTCATCCTCCCTAAGTTGGCACCACAGACATGCCCCATTGTGCCTGACTCATAACCAAGTTTTAATTCTCTTGTAAACTGTTTTACCATTATGATCTGACATGAGTTGATGTGATTCTGGTCTTTCAACTTTACTCCTGCCTAACAGGGCCACACTGTGGCTCCATATAGCACTTGAGTTACAACACTGAAGCCATGCTCCTGGAAGATATGAGAGACCAACTGATAAACATGATAGGATCTGTTAGTTGATTAATGATCAGTTGTCCTTTGGCATGCCGGGGTGTGACACCTGCAGCTCTGAGTGCTGAAAACAGCCTTAATCTAATCTCTATGTAGCCATGATCCAATTGTGTTATCTCAGGCAAGTCATTTAATTGCTTTGGACCTTAGTCTTTTTCCAGTTCTAAAATCCTATAATCTACTAAATTCTAATTTATTGTGGTCTGAAGTATTGGTGTTTTACTGTGCTTTGTTTAGGTTTGCTCAGGAATTGACTACATTTAATGTTGTTGGAAATTGACATAATTATGGAAGGCAGTGAGATAATAAATGGTTCTGTTTTCTTCCAGATCTTTGATGATGCATACAAATCCCAACTCAGTTGTGTGGTTGTGGATGACATTGAGAGATTGCTAGGTGAGTCATAACTTTGGCCATGTACTCTCTTTGCCACTTTATAGCTGACGTGTCAAAAAATTAAGAGTCAAATAATGGATATTTATAAACTTTAGGGCAAGAGAAATATTGTTCTTCATCATACAAGGAAATATAACTCTACTTCTTGTGTCTACTGTCAGTCATAATATTCATTCATGGTAAAATGCCTGTTACCTTTACTCTGTTATAAACTGCTTTCTTTTAAGGACCCACGTTCCATGTTATTTTCTATCTTGTACAGTGTGTCCTTCATAATAAATTATTAGTATTTTGGGGGGTGATATATTTGCTATTCAGTATCTATCTCTGAGATGCCTATAACTCAGAAGTCCACTTGTAAACTTTGACAGAATGAAAGAAAGAAGAGTTTAGGATTGTAGTAAAACCCACAAATTTGCTAGAATACTTGGGCAGAAGTTGTAAGCTCTCTGTACATCCGTTTCTATTCTTACAATATAATTTATAATCCTTTCTATGCTAATACCACAGAGTAACTGTGAAAACAAAAATAGGAAAATGAATGTTGAAAACATTCCGAAAGTTTCAAGTGCTCTATAGTAATTTTTTAAAATATTTATTAAACCTCTTTTATGTTGAAGTGCAGTCCTATGGGACACAAAGATGAGTAAGACTGAGTCTCTGCACTCAACATAATAATTGCCAGAAAATTCTTGTACTGTTACATTTTATTCATTGTAAAATTAAATCAATCTAGCATAAATTATAACAGTGGATCAGGATAGAATAATAAAATCCATTGAAAAAAAAACCCACCTGGTGACTTAATAAACATCTGAAAATACTACCCAACATCTGATTAACCTTCCATAATTGTATAGTCATGATTTCAGATTCACTGTTCTTACTGTGTTTTCTCCATGATTTTCAGACTTGGCATTAAATTCTGTTTTTTCTTTTTTAAGTTTTGACAGTGTTTGTCATAAAGCAAAAGCAGGTATCCGTGAAGTCTCCTTAAATTGATAGTTTTATCTGATGACCTGGTTTTGGTGTGCAATGTTTGATACATCTCAGCCCAGTTTATAGGATTATTTCTTTAAAAGCTTTTAGGCACATACTCATAGCTCTGTGTAAATTCCTTTATCTAAACACAATTGAGATGTGTGGTCATAGCAACACCACTATGTCAGGAATGTGTGCCCTCTGAGTATATTTTCACTTGTATGAATAGTTATTTTCTGTTCATGTTTGTTCATTTATTCAACAAGCATTTGCTGAACCCTTACTACTGTGCTAGAATTACTAGGGTCTCAGAAAAATAAATAAGATTCTGCCTGTCTGTTATAACATATATCAGCAAAAACTAATGCAAAGAAAATGCACATGTGTTCTGGATATTTTAAAACAAAGGGATCGCTTTTGACATCAGGAGGCTGATGCCTACTGGGAGCTCTACGCCCAGGTCTAGGTTGAATATATAATACTCAGAGACAGCTAAAGAAGTACCATTTATACTGAGTCTTTTTTGGGGTGGGGGTGGGGGGTTGGGGATAGCACCCAGCAGGGCTTAACCACTGAGCCACATCTCCAGCCCTTTTTGTTATTTTACCTTTTTAAAAAATATTTATTTTAAAAAATATTTATTTTAAAATATTTATTTTAATATTTTAAAAAATATTTATTGTGTTCATTTTGTAGATGAACACAATACCTTTATTTTATTTGTTTATGTGATGCCAAGGATCGAACACAGTGCCTCATACATGCTAGACAAGTACTCTACCACTGAGCTACAACCCCAGCCCTGTTATTTTCCTTTGAGATGGTCTCCGTAAGTTGCTGAGGATCCTCCTACCTCAGCCACTATGCGAATCTTGATGTACTAGTTTTCTTTAAAAAAAAAAAAATTTTAATTAGTTGTAGATGGACACAATATCTTTTTATTTATTTATTTATTTTTTTAATGTGGTGCTGAGGATTGAACCCAGGGCCTTGTGCATGTGAGGCAAGCACTCTACCACTGAGCTAAAACCCCAGCCCATTAAAGTACTAGTTTCTTTAGTTCTTTAGTCATCTGAGGCCAGTCTTCATCACCATCATTTCAGTTATTGTGTTGCCATAGTTTGCATCAGTTTCTTAGAAATGCTCCATAAATACACTTGGATGCTTTCCCCTTAAAAAAAAAAAAAAATTCTGAAAACCAGCTAAAATGTCTACCTGAATTCAGAATGGATATTTAGAAGTTTTTAGTTTACTTGTTTTGAAAAAATGTACAGGAAAGTGTTCTTATGTGACATTTTAAGCATTTAGGTTACCAGAGGTATTTTTTTCTTATTATAGATAGTTGCCTGTTACTTAGGATGATGTTTACTCTTGATGTAGAAAAATCAGAACATTTTGATGTGTGTAAATGTGTATAAGATGCCTAATCATAACCATGTTTCTCTTCCAGATTATGTCCCCATTGGCCCCCGATTTTCTAATCTGGTATTACAGGCTCTTCTTGTGTTACTGAAAAAGGCACCTCCTCAGGTAAAAGAAATAATAATAATAATAAGGAATATTTTCACAGTCTCTTTCAGTAAATTCCATTTAGTGGTGTACTGTTTCTGAATAAGCCAGGTTGTCATAAACATAAAATTCTGTTGTTGAAAGGATTTTGAAGGTCATCTGTATTGCCATGGTTTGCAGCAATTTCTTAGAAATGTTTGTTAAAAACACCTGGATACCTTTCCCCTTGAAGGAGGGAACCAAAAAAAAAAAAAAACAAACAAACAAAAAAGCCCTACTCTGAATACCAGAGGTGTTCTAACGGTAAATTATATTATTAACTGATTTTTTTTCTTTTCCAATTCTTAAAATATCAAAATCTGACAATTTCAGTTAGTATTGTTTCGTGCTTTATAAATTCTCCAACATATTCTACATCTTTTCCCACTCTACCTCCCAAGAGAGATGATGATGTTAATGTAGAAGGGATTCAAAATGTGTTCCTGTTTGTTGCACTTGAGAGTTTTTATTTGAGGGCTTTTAAGTTTATTTACTATAGGCAAGGCTTTTTGTTTGTTTTGTTTTGTTTTTTAACTTTTACAGATGTTGAGTCATCATTGTAAGAGTCTTCTGTAGTCACATGGTACTTTTAAGGAATGATATTATAGTCAGGCTCATTTCTACTGATGTGGCTACTAGAGACTGGTGATTTTCTTAGCTTAACAAATTTAAACCAACCTTTATAGGTTGGTTAAATATTGTAATTATATAGGGGCTGCCAGAGCATGTTTGGTTATGTCTCAAGATAAATTCTCTTGATTGATTCTCCTAACCCTAACCCTAACCCTAACCTTGACAAAATGCCAATCAAGTCATATTCAAAAGGCTTAAGCATTAATTTGGAAAACATCTTAGTGTCTATATGGGAATTTTGTACATGAATATATATATCTATAGGGAAAATATTTAATGTTAAGTTGATGAATCTAATTTTTAATTTAACAGTTAAAATAATGTGTATGTATATTTTACATTTAAGGATAAAGGACTATCCTGATTTTCTAGATTGAGGGAATTTTTAAAAATTTCTAAAGTAGTGAAAGAAATCTAACCTTGAAAATACCCTTGAAAATTTGCTACATATATGCACTGTGGGAGGATTTTTAAACCCTCGTTCCATAAATCATTATTCCCAGTACTGGAATTTGAGCTTATACTAAGGCTTAAGTTGGAGAAGTGACTCTATTTTTCCCTTTTCTGATTCCTTCAATATTCTTATAAATATGTAAATATGTCTAAGGTTGATGAAACAATAATCTCTAAAATGTATTCTGCTGTCATGTATAACTAATTAGAACAAATTTAAAAATTTTTAATTATAATTTCTACCCAATACCTATGTAGGTATCACAACCTCAAAAATCTTTTTTTTAATGAAATTAACATATTTAAAATTATTAGAATAAAAAATGTCTTCTGGGCACTTAAACTTATTTCTTGTAATATTCAGGTTTTTATTTAAAAAATATGCTAAGAGTCACTTGGGAGAAGGAAAAATAATTTTCAATGCTATTTTGAACAACTTGTTCTTTACATGGTTAAATACTACATACCTTGATTTAAATAAGATACATCTTCTGGCTGAAAGTTTTTTGTAATCCAAAATAGATTCTAATATAGAAATAAACAGAAAATGTTTAAATTTTGATTAAAAACTTAAGAAGAACTTTATATTTATTAGAATAATTGTAAAATTCTTAAGGAACATTATCTTATGCTTTTAAATCTCACATCTGGCATAGAGGCTTACACATATATGTTTCATGAGTAAGTTATTCAACAAAAAATATATCTTATTAAATATAAATTTTTATATCTTCTCATTTTGGTGGGCTTAAGTGTTTTAGTATTGTTTGAGTTTATATTTAGAACAGGGTATGATTAAAGTAGAAACATTAAAAAATAAGTAAAGATCAAATGGCCAATAAGTACACAAAAAGAGTTAACATCATTCATCATCAGGGTAATGCAAATCAAAACCAATTCAGTGAGGGACCATTTCATACCTACTAGGTTGGATCTAGTCTAAAGGTCAGATAATAATACGATGAAAAAATTGACACCCATCTAACACTACTGGTGAGAATGTAAAAATTGTGCAGTCTTTGGAAAATAATCTGGTAATTCCTTAAAAGGTTAATCATCAAGTTAGCAGATGGCTCATCAATTCACTCCCAGGTAGGTACCCAAAAAGAAAACATTTGCCTATACAAATTATTGTATATGGATATTTATGGTAATATTATTCATAAAAGAAGTAGAAATAATACAAATGTTCATCAAATAAAATAAAATCTAATGTATCCCTACAGTGGAATACTATTTACCAATAAAAAATGCAGTACTGAATGTGCCACAACATGGACAAACCTTGAAAACACGTAAAGAAACCAGTCCCAAAGGCCACACTATACAATTCCATTTATACAAAATGCTCAGAATTGGCAAATTTATAGAGACAGAAAGTATATTAGTGGCTGCCTGGGGCTGAGAGAGGTGGATGGGGAGACTAGGAGGTGACTGCCAGTGGGTAGGGAGTTTGTTTTTTGGACTGATGAAAATATCCTAAAATTGATTATGGTGACAGTTGCACTTATCTGTGAATATACTAAAAACTGTTTGTTGTGTGCTATGTGAATTACATCTCAATAAATTGGTCACAGTTTTTAAAATATGGTTTCAGATGCTACTTCAATGATGAAAAGAGAATTATATGGAGAGTTAGAAGTGAAGGGTGAGCATCCAAGGTACATGGCTCAGCTTGGTTAGAAACAGCAATTAGATCATTAAAAAGGGATGTGGAACAAACTTCTCTAAGGACTGAAGAGAAAGGATATAGGAAACATAGGAGCAAGAGATCTGGTTGCCTTAGTGATGGGAAATGGCAGGGATTCTCTTTTAAAGGAATTAATCTAGAATTTGTTCACTCTGACCTGGTCTGCCTAAGATGACCTGTGGTATAAGTAGCAGGAGAAATTAATATTTGTAATATTTTTAATTGGAACATATTTAAGAAAATAAAGAATGTCTTTTCCGTATCATGTTGTTTTGTAAAATTAGTTTATATTATCTCAAGAAAATAAAGGAAAAATGTTCAGGCTGATCTAATATCAAAAATGTTTGTAACTCTAAAGTGGGAGGATTCACTTCACCAGTCCATTATCACGTAGGTTTTTCAGATGTTTTCAGTTTAAAATATATATATGCATCTGAATGTTATAAGGTGCATAAAGGTAGAAAACTATTATTTACCACTGGCAAGAAAACAAAAGATGTGGGCATTTTTCTTTAAAAAGAGAACTGTACATGGATTACAATACAGCAATCATATCAGTCACATTAAGTTATCCTTAATGTTGCATTTGTTGTAAATCTAGCTTTCACACAGAAAAATTGTGTGTGCATGTGTGCACATGCTCAAATAAAAGAATCCCTCCAGGGGCACTATGTTGTTATGTATCAAGATATTCTCTTTTTCCACTTCCACCCCTCCCCCACCCCTCCCTTCTTGTAAATTGGCTTATTAAAACTGGTTCACAAGCCCTCCTTTTTTCCCTTTGTGATTGCCTTGCTCTTGGATTTTCAGTGTAGAACTAAAAATTCAAGTCAGATTTCAGTTACTAGGATAATTTTCTTTGAATTTTAAATTTTTCTAAGTAAATGCATAGATTTTTAATGAACCTGGTATTCAGTGGATTTGCTTTAAATTTAGCTGGAGAGTTAATTTCATGATTGATTTATTAGCCCTTTGAAAGTATAAAAAGTGGTATCCATAGTTCATGAAGACTGAAAAACATCATCACATTTTGTTTAGCATCTTTTTAAAACCAATTAAAAGCTTTTCTAAAATGGATTGAACAGGAGAAAATAAAACATGTTCCCTAGGTCTTTATTTCAATCAAGTTTCCCTGTGTTCTGCAGGAGAAGAGATCGAGGGGGGATAGAAAAATTGAAAAGGGCTGTCCCAGCAGGGAGCCCAGCCGGAGAAAAGGCTTCTCTGAGAACTCAGCAGCAGCAGCTCAGAAAGCTCCCGGCCTGCTTCATCTACATGCAGAGTCACACAAGGCATGGGGGCGCTCACCGGCACACAGAGGTTTCACATGTGCTTCCCTGCTGATTCCTGTGAAAAGCTAACAATTGGCTTGGAGGGTAAAAGACCACTGCAGTTCACCCTCCCTGAGCTGGACGTACAATTTGTCCAGTGTTAGGAAATGTCCGGCTTAGCAGTGAGAGGCTTGAAGACACCCCTCCTTCCATGAGATTCCTAAAGCCTTCTCTTTTACTTGATGACACTGGGGCTCTTTTCAAGTTTTGCAGATTTATGGAAGTTGAGGGGGATGTGCTTTTCCAGATCAGGAGGATGAAAGCCTCGGTCTTAATGTCAAGGAAGAAGCAGCAGTAAGAAGGGAAGGCCAGGTAGATCCTGTAGCCAGCAGCACCAGGGCTTTATTATTTCCCTCATGGGTCTCTTCTGCCACTTTTTTTTTTTTTTGAGGCAAAATAAATTGCCCAAAAAGGGGCACCTCAGACTTAAAATGATGTGACTTTCCAGTTTCTTCTACAAGTGTAGGAATAGTCAAAACCCTTTAACTTGACTATTTGATTCTGGGTATTCTTGGCAGTGGTAGAAATCAAAGTGGAAGACCTCATCTGAATATAACAGAATAATCTGGTAGTTTATGGAGAACCAACCCTTTTTCAGTGCTTTCTAACTTTTTTATACATAGAAAAAGATAACATCTGATGATATACTTGGGTAATTTGGCAAGAACACCCAAAACTGGCCCAGCCACCCCAGGACCCCCTGCTTTCCCCTCAGCTGGTAGGAGTGGCTATTTTAATCCACATATCCCTCATTGGCAGCATACCAGTAGAATACTCTGGAAACTTACACTTCTACAAAAGAAGAATATTACTTGAAATCCCTGGCAGTATTACTGAAGAAGAGCTCAGAACTTAAAGTTGTTTGTTGTTTTAATTAT